ATTTTGGCTAGTTTCCAAGAAATCCATCCACTTCTGTGATTCATACCGATATTCCTTTATTGGATGAATCTACCCCTAGCTCACATTTTTTGATTTCCATTCAACTACTTCACCACGGATTATCCAAACCATTTAGTTTTGACATTCAAACCCTTATTAACTAGTTCCTGGCATGGATGTTACAACCTACCCTCCTTAAAAAAGTTTCATCCCCAAAATTTTCATGTCTTATTCTATACACTATTCACACTAAACTTTATCTAACAATATATAAAAGTCATACTTGATCTTTCTCACTTATCCTTGCTGGTAGTCATCATGAATAGCCGACCTTCCCTTATGTTACCTTGATCTCTGCTTTACTGATTCTAACCCGGCAGTTGATCCAGTCTCGGTGGTTGTGAAGGTTTATTACAACTTTGGGCATCGAATCCTTACATATCCCTCTTGTCCACAATACATTGATAAAATACTAACTATATTGGTGTGACCCNTGGCAGTTGATCCAGTCTCGGTGGTGGTTGTGAAGGTTTATTACAACTTTGGGCATCGAATCCTTACATATCCCTCTTGNCGGCAGTTGATCCAGTCTCGGTGGTTGTGAAGGTTTATTACAACTTTGGGCATCGAATCCTTACATATCCCTCTTGTCCACAATACATTGATAAAATACTAACTATATTGGTGTGACCCCAATCCATAAAGTCAATGTATAGATTATCTTAGAAGGTTAGCCCTTATAAAATTAAGGTTAATTCACGAACAGATATTATAAGATGACACAGGTAACACCCATACAAGACCTATAACCTAGTGCTCTTCTAATTTTGTCCATCAAGAATCAATTCATCCAGGACTGATAGGTGATCATCCTAAGTATCAAACTTAGGATAGTCTATAGAAGCAATTACCTTTGCTCTGATACCAGATTGTAACACCTTGACCCAATCACACGCAATTAGAATGCAAGTAACTTCAATAGCCCAAACAAATTTCCAAAAGTAATAAATGATATACCTTTCAAAAGAAATTACCATGCTCTGATACCAATTTTGTAATGCCCTCACCCAACCCTTAGTAATTAGAGCGCTAATAACCTCAATAATATTAATGCACTTTTCAAGAAAATAACAAATATTACAACTTCCAAAACTCAAATTGCAAACTTCAACGTTCCACCAAAACTCATAAAGGAAAATATGTTTATTCACACTTCAAACAAGGAAGTCAACAGAACATGTCCCCAAAATAAATGTTATTCCTTATTCGTCAGAACCCTGTATAATAGATAAATAGAGTAGAGTGAACATCGACCAACTAAGTAAATTAATTCAATTCTGTAACCAACAAGGTTTGAAAATAATCATAGTTTTTTGTGAATAAGATTTAAAACAATATTTAAGCATGTATACATATAAGCCAAATGATTTTTGGGACCAAAAGAAGAGTTATAATCAACAAAGGTACCATACCAATAATCAATACCAATATCAGTGTATCACACCAAAGAGTCAAAATCCTAATGACCTCTCAAGGTTTAGAGATATCTCGAATGTCTCAATGCCATCAAATAAACCTTTTAGGGGACTTTCACCCCAAGGAAGATACGCGCCCCTTCACCCGACAATACCTAAGATCGAAAGTTAATTAGGCCACCAGAAACTAATTAACACAGTGAAACTCTCTACGGTTTAAACTTGGATCATATACCCTTTGTCGCTCAATTCAGTGTGCACCTACTTTTCACAAAAAAGGATTCGAGTAATCAACTTTCACAAAAATAGCTCATTAGCTCAACACAAACATAGTTCCATTGAATTCAAACGAATCTGGAATTATCAAATTAGTAATCAACCCAAACCACAATAGTGAATAACATTTAGAATGATATTTGATAAAATAACTTGAGTAATGAAAAGACAGATTTCTCGTTTGTATACCCTATTAAAACCATATTCTTGGCTTGTTCAAGTCTTGCCCATATTTAAGAGAATTCAAGCCTAAAAACCCTAACTCAACTAAATTTCAATCTTGTCCATAACTTGACTTTTGACCTACCAAACGACCAAATCAATTGAACCAACCTCAAATATGAAATACTTAACCCCAAAACATTGTTAATAGGTTCCCCTCATACCTTGAAACACAAGATTTCAAAGACCCATAAAATTGAGCTTTGAAACTCAAACTAGGGTTTCATATTCTTACATTTTTAGGCCATGGAAATTCAAAAAAAGCATAGATTAATGCTAAGAAAGTGCTTAGGATGCTTACCCTAGCTTGGTTCCCTTGTTGAAGGCTTGAATCCGAAGATCTCCCACTTTCTCTCTCCAACCCTCTTCCTTTTTTCTCTATATGAATCTCTACAAAGGGTCTCCAAGAGACTTCGAAAGCACAACATGAGTACCCTAAAATGCTTTCTGATAGTAATAATTGGAAATTTATTAGATTTCGTTCTTATAAGAGATGGAATCACAGTTGAAACGACCAAAACGAAAGCCATGCTTAAAATGAAAATGGCTACAAAGGATGTCTAGCCTACATCCAAAGATTCATATCAAATCTATCAAGGTGTCAACCGTTTCTCTCAAACTCCTAAATTCTTGCCCTAATATGATCCTTTAGCCTACATATCTCATCCCAAGCAGCTCACACAACACATGCATGGCTGAATTAAAGGTGGGGAAGACATCTCATACTTGGGGGTTGTTTTGTTCCCATTAGTCGAATTTTAGGGTTTTTCCTAATTATGAATTTTGGTATTTTTTTTAATTTCTAATATCTTTATTTGTGAAATTTACTTAGTTTTCACGAAATTTATCCACTTCTTCGATTCATACCTATATTTCTTTATTGGACAATTTTACCCAAGCTCTCGTTTATGCAATTTCCATTCAATTGCTTCATCACTGGTTTTCCAAAGCATTTAGTTCTGACATTCCAACCTTTATTAACTACTTCCAAGCATGGTTGTTACAACCTGCTCTCCTTAAAGAATTTTCATCTTTGAAACTTTAATCTCTTATTCTATACAATATTCACGTTCAGCTTAATCTAACTATATACAAATGTCATACTTGGTCTTTCTCACTTCTTAAAAAGTTGGGGTGTGACAAGTGACAATCTTGCAAATTTATTCACAAATTTTTAGCATACATTNATATTCACGTTCAGCTTAATCTAACTATATACAAATGTCATACTTGGTCTTTCTCACTTCTTAAAAATTTGGGGTGTGACAAGTGACAATCTTGCAAATTTATTCACAAATTTTTAGCATACATTCAAAAACTTAGTATACAACAGAAGAATGCGCAGGGCGGGACTATCCCCCGACACCCACACGTCACCCCATCCATTCCACTCATGGTCTTAAATTTTGTTTCATTTCGTATGAAACGTTTCGTTATTTGAAAAATCAGAAATGAAACTTCAAAAGAATTTCTAAAAGTGTTGGTTTTCGACGAAACTCGAAACATTTTTATGTTTTCGTACAAAACGTTGGAGAAACAGTCCCTATTCAATTACTTTGCGAAAACTTAAACAAAGAACTTAGAGTGTATCGTGTATGTGAACTGATTTTTGTCAGCGAAGGGAACTGATTTTTGTTATGAGAAGAAAGAGAGATTATCAGGGTGAGGGTGGCAATGGAGGGCGTTGGGTGGCAGAGTATGTGGGGTAGCTAGAGGAAAGGAGAGGAAAGGGAAGACATGGGCAATTCCTTTTGCACGATTTTCTCTGACAAGACTTGTCACAAGAGTTCATTCTACTCAATCTTTTTCATTCATTTCTTCTGGATTTTGTCTGCCATGAATTATTTTTGTTCAAACAGAATAGAGATAAAATAAGGGCTAAATTTGTGGACTCAAGCACTGAAGAAAGGAAGTTCATTTTCAACTGAACGAGAAAGTTGAGAGACCCAATCGGCCAATCCCCAACTCAAAGAGTTTTACACAGATATCAACTCTGGTGAAGTTGGGATATAATCTCAGCTGAAAATTAGGGATTTCAACTTAGAACTCAGTTGAAAATTAGAGATTTCAACTTAGATCTCAGCTAAAAATTAGGGATTTCAACTTATTTTGCTGGGTTGTGAGGATTAAATCAATTTAAATGAAAGGAGTGGAGCATATTGAACAATAAGAAGAGCTAGCAGTAGTGTATCTCATTGAAGGGCGACGACATATAAAGGTATTTGTGTTGATTCAACTGACACTTTAACCTTTTTCAATAGTTTGAGTTATTCTTTTGGTTTCTACCTCATAAATGTCTAATTTCTTGCTATACTCCATTTGCTTTACAATATGAATCTCATGATAGGCCAAATGTGAGGTCTCTTGTGACTTCTCTTGATTCTCTTCATAAAGAAACAGAGGTATGGTTCACACTGCAATTGATATGATGAGAACAAAGCTAGTGTCAATTTAGTATTGTAGGAGTAGAATACATATTCAATACCGATTGGGTTAGTATTTAGCTCTGCATATTCTGGTTCTCCCCTTCCTTTTATTTCCTATACGGTTGCCAATAAGTTAGCAACGAAGCTGTCATCAATGAAGAATGTAAATGGTCAATGGTTTCTTTAGTGAAGATAGTAGAAAACCTTTATGTCAATCAACATTTGTTGCTGAATTCATTGTCTTATATTGCTAAGCATAGATTTGATTAACAGACTTCCTTGTGTAACTAAGCATAGATCTAAAAACCACATTCTGCTCTGCTATGAAAACCACTCCATTTGCTTTGTATTTTTGTATGGTTTCTCTTTTTTTCTTTTTTTAAACATACTCTTCCTAGGAAATGCAGTCTTTATGTTTTCTGCACATTGGTTTAGTTTTTTTGCAATGGAAGTCAATCACATTAGTTTTTTATTAATCATTTTTTTATTAGATATGCCGCCGAAGGCAACAAAATGAAGAAAACGTGATATTGGGTGGGATCATGGCGAAATGATTGACAACAATCATATGTGGAGATGATGCAAATACTGCGAAAAAGAGATGAAAGGTTCCGGGGTATCACGCTTAAAACAACACATAGCTGGTGGTTTTTCAAATGTTGAAAAATGTGAAAAATGTGCAGTGGAGGTGTCAAGGGCAATGAGGGAGCACCTTGATAGTCAAAAGACAGAGAGTGAAAAAGTAACTATAGAGAGAGTTGCTCTTAGGGAGACTTTGATGGAATCCACACAAAAACGACATGGAATTGATGTAGATAGTTTTGATTGTGATGAGTACGTTGACTTAGACAAGGAGATGACCCCTTTAGAGAGGAGGCAGTTACATATTGCCAAGCAAAGATCTATACATGACTTGCATGAATTTGAGCAAGGTAGAGCACGGTATGAAGGTGGTGACACATCAAAGGGAGCTTTTTCCTCTCGTTCAGATAAAATGATGGGAATGATAGAAACATTTTAAAAGAGATCAAAGGGTTTAAACATAGAAGACATAGATGCTTCAATTTACAGGAACCGTGATTGCATACAACAGAGGATACCAAACAAGCTTGGTTCCAATAAATTTGTGAAATCTGCAAAGCATGCCATAGGTAGGTGGTTTATNTAGAAACATTTTAAAAGAGATCAAAGGGTTTAAACATAGAAGACATAGATGCTTCAATTTGCAGGAACCGTGATTGCATACAACAGAGGATACCAAACATGCTTGGTTCCAATAAATTTGTGAAATCTGCAAAGCATGCCATAGGTAGGTGGTTTATTTATAGTCATATCCCCCCTAATGCAGCTGGAAATATATATTTCCAAACTATGATAGATGAGATTGCAAAAGCAGGAGTGGGGTTTAAAGGTCCAAGTCCTTACGAGATCACTGGTCCTATTTTGGATAACGAAATTGACGAAATAAAGGAGTATGTTGAAAATTTTAAGAAAAAGTGGGAAACATATGGTGTCACTGTTATGTGTGATGGGTGGACATCAACAACCAAATTATCAATTATAAATTTCTTAGTTTACTGTGATGAAAAAATTGTGTTTCATAAGTCTGTGACTATTTCCAGTCAGTATAAGGATGCCAACTATATTTATGAGTTAATGGATGATGTGGAAAAAATTGGTGAAAAATATGTTGTGCAAGTGATTACTGATAATGGGTCTGCATATAAAAAGGCTGGTGAGTTATTGATGAGAAAGAGGAAGCATTTGTATTGGACCCCTTGTGCTACCCATTGCATTGACTTGATACTAGAAGATTTTGCTGATGGACAGTTAGTAAAGAGTGTGATCGATCAAGCCAAAAAAATATCAAATTTTATCTACAACCGTAATAGGGTGCTTGATATCATGCGAAAATACACCAAAGGAAGAAAGCTTCTACGTCCAAGTGCGACCCATTTTGCAACAAACTTTATTGCGATTCAGAGTATTTTTGACCAAAAGATATCTTTACAAAGAATGTTTACATCTGATGAGTGGGCAAATAATGCAGCAAGTAGGGATCCAGTTGGTAAAGTATTGCAAGAAGTTGTATTAAGTAATTCATTCTGGGATAAAGCACATATGGTGTGTAAGTTACATGCACCTATTTCAAAGGTTCTTAAAATGGTGGATGGAGAGAAGCAAGCTACTATGGGTTATGTATTTGAAGGAATGAGGAGAAGTAAGTTGGTTATTGAAGCAGCTCTTCCTAGGGCACATAAAAAGTATTGCAATATAATTGATGATCGATGGAAAAGACAGATGATACAAGACATACATATAACAGGTAACTAGTAATACAATTTTTTTAATCACAAACTTTTTTAATCACTGCCTTAAAGCTAAACTAGCCAATTAGTACTGTGAACAGTACCGTGAATAGTACCAGTCACATTAAATTCCATCTTCTGTTCAAAAAGTGTTGTGCTGAAATTCCATCTTCCATCACATTCCATCTTTATTTTTTTAAAGCATTAGTTACTGAAAACACCTTCTATGATTTTACCAGCATACTATTTAAATCCTACATACCACTATGATCAAGAATTTGCTTACAAAGAGGAATTGGTAGATGCNATTTTATGATTTTACCAGCATACTATTTAAATCCTACATACCACTATGATCAAGAACTTGCTTACAAAGAGGAATTGGTAGATGCTTTGAGAAGAGTAGTGCAAAAGCTTGAACTAGATGGTGATCGGGCTACCATGGCGCTTGCAGAGGTACATACCAATTTTATTTACAATGATTTACTACAACAATATATTCTCCTACTAGGAATCTCTAAAAGATCTACCATGTAGGCAAAAACATTTCAAGATGCTATGTATGGGTTTGGTGATGCAACAACTATTAGAGGAAGGTCAACAACTGAACCAGACAATTAAAAATATTTAGATATTTATTGTTTAGAAATCCTTNAAGATGCTATGTATGGGTTTGGTGATGCCGTAGCTATTAGAGGAAGGTTGACAACTAAGCCAGGTAATTAAAAATATGTAGACATTTATTGTTTAGAAATCCTTAATTTCGTATGTACTTAATATAACAAAGTCTTTTTTGAATTTACAAATTGCTTCTTCTATTTTGTAGCCGATTGGTGGTTCATGTAGCTTCGTCAAGTGGGTACGAAAAAAATTGGAGTACATTTGCTCTCATCCATACTAAAGTTCATAATCGCCTTAACTATCAAAAGTTGGAGAAGTTGGTCTATGCACATTATAACATGAGGTTGAGATTGCGACATCTCATGAAAGACAAAAGGAAAGTAGACCTTGACTTTAAACCAATAAATTTGGCTCATTTGTTTGAAGAGGATGATTTGCTCACGGAGTGGTTAGATGATCCAGGAGATGCACTATTAGATGAATTTGACAATGAAGAACAACATGCTAGGCCAAATTCTTTTTTGGCAACATGGGTCGAAAGATTGAGTGGACCTCATTCAAGTGGCACAAGTTCAAATGAGGCAAGAGCAAGGAACATAAGAGGTAGTGGAACGAACATTATCTTGGATGATGACGATGATTTTGAGATATTGATGAGAGGACCATCATTGCATCATACAAGCATTGATGAAGTTAACAATAATGGTGGTGTTAGTGAAGAAGGTGAGCGTGATAATAGTATCCATGTTGGTGGTATTGGAAGCAATGAGAATATTAACAATGAGGATGTTGGTGGTATTGGAAGCAATGAGAATATTAACAATGAGGATGTTGGTGGTAAAGATGACAGTTTCACTAGTGAATCGATAAATAATAATTCTTTTAGTTCTTCACAACAACATCACATTGGAGAAAGTCCAACTGGTGTATATTTCACTTAAGATCAATATTTTGATTATGCCAACCAAGACCAAGATCATGGTAGTCGTCGCTCCATGGGTCATAATAATGATATGCAAAATCAGGGAATTTAACAATGTTTATTATTTTCTAAAACTCTAGAATTCATCTATTAATTGCTTTGATTTTATGGTGTTACTGTTATTGCTGGAATTTTTTTATAAATTTCAGATGATGAATGACTACTTTAGTAAGCATGAGATTTAAATGGGGCTCATTAACGTTTCTATGCGTTTGCATTATTATTATTTGTAATTTTATGAATGAAACTCCAGATTTTTATGTAAATGACAATTCCATTTCTTTCTTTTTTTTTTTTTTAAGAAAAGAGAAAAATATTCATAGCATACAAATTTTGATGCAATTACAATATGCCAGAATAGCAGAATACCAATGATATTAAAATTTCAGTCCATCTACACAGCAACACAGATGTCACATATCTTTTTTTTTTTTTAAGAAAAGAGAAAAATATTTATAACAGATAGATTTTGATGCAATACAATCTGCCAAAATAACAGAATACCAATGATATTGAATTTTCAGTCCATCACCAACCCAGAATCAATTTCATGTCACATGTTACAGACTGCCATCTGTCCAATAATTAACTAAACAACCTACAGCTTCAGCTTCATGCCCTTGAATCACAAATCACCATCTTTTTCAATCTTGCAGTAGGCATTTCAGATTGATCTTGTTGCAACAGCATTCTACCAGTCAAAGGCAGAGCACCACTAATTGAGAAATCAGTGCTACATCCACAACAGACTGCAAATGAAGCCAGAAAATTAACTAATACATTAGCCTCTCTAAAATGACAAATAAATATCACTCGGTTAAATATTACAATTGTGAATCGTCTTGTTTCAAAGTTAATAATATTCAATTAGACTATACAAAAAAATTTCTTGTAAATTATATGTATTCTGTTGTTTCTTGCTTTATTGGATTGATAAAAAAACCAAAATAAGAACTTGATTGACATAAAACCAATTTCATTCATAAGTTTCCATTCGATTCTACCAAAATACATCGTTTTCAAAACATTTCCAAAATGTTTCTATTTTTAGAGTCACCGAAACATATCTCCGAAGCAAAACTTTAAACCATGATTCCACTATATCTCTATATCAACATTCACTGCAGACAGTCCATAACGCAGATCCCACACCCGGCACAGCCCCCTCCCCAATAGTACTCCACTACGCACCTCCTCTCTCTCTCTCTCTCTCTCTCTCACACACACACACGCATCAATTTAGGCTGTCGATGGTTTGAGTTTGGTTGGCCCAGCCCAAGACAAACCTCTAGGTTCGTCACTTTCCTACCCTACCCCAGCCCCCACCCTTCAACCCATCTAGCATGCCCAAATCGAACATATAAAAATAAATTCAACTACAATTCAGAGAGCAGAAATTCTTACATATGGAGAAAATATACAATGAGTTAAAGATTTTATGCCACACCATACTAAAAAAAAGCTCATCCTATCACATCTGCGTGATGCCTACAATTTGTATTATGGTATACTCAGAATGTATAGTAAGTCCTAATGGAATCATAATCAGTGCTAAGCTGCAAATTCAACCCTGCGGCCTTCTCTAAGGATGCAACAGACTTGTCCATTATGGCTTCACAATTAAATTCCTTCTTTCAGCACAAGTGTTGCTTGGAAATTCAGTCATGGCCATGAAAATCCCCTCTTCCAGAACTGGGAATTGGCTCATCTGTTAAGCATCAAAGAAGCGCTATTCATGTAAATAAAACTGTATAAATCATAGATTTGCATCAGATGACAAGGAAACTATTGACAAGTATGAGTCACNCGCTATTCATGTAAATAAAACAGTATAAATCATAGATTTGCATCAGATGACAAGGAAACTATTGACAAGTATGAGTCACTACTCTTAGATCCCACAAATGAGCACGATAATTAAACATTTAAATGCAACATGAAGGCACGATAGCAATTTACAATGAAAACCAAACCAAAATAAAATATTCACCACAAAAAATACCTATAGCACCCACCCCATAGCCTTTTTGCCCCCTAAAATAAAAGATTGCCTCCCAAATCCTCCCTCGTCCCCCACAAAAAAACGAACAAACTCAAACCTACAAAAAAAAAAAAAAAAAAAAAAAAAAAAAAAAAAATTCCC